GAATGTATTAAATTCCATATCAGAAGAATTCTCACCTGTTTCTATTTCGCCCACCCTTTGAATAAGACGACTGGGTTCAAGCATGGTTCAAGCAAAGCGCTGCTTAGAAAAGTGTCAGGCTATTCCAATTAAATAAACATAATTTGTGAGCTTTTTATTCTGTTGAAATATCTCATAGTAGTAATATAGCATAATTAAATTATTTCCGTCGAAGTGATATTACAATTCACAACAGAACTGAGACTAGTTTAGATGTTTGTGCAGTCCCATATACCCATATCTGTGTCCGTTATTTTTATATTTTAGTGCTGTTACGTTAATTGTGATGATTCCATTACTACCTCATATTAAACACATCACTACGACATAATTTACATTTAATTTTTTTTTTTTTGACATGCTCTTTCGAAATGAAGTAACATGACCAATATTCAACATAATCTTTATAAAATCAGGCACAGAGTTACATTGCAAATAATGAATTACTCATTGATTAGCTAAGAGTAATCATATTTGATAGCAATGGCCATATACTCCTGTATACCTTGTCAAAGGACAGACAAAAAGCCCCGCGTAAATCACCGAGGAATGGGGTAACGAAGAGGCGTTTGATTATTTCTGTTAATTGACGCGTTCTAATTCCAACATCAATTTTTAATTTCCTCATTAGCAAGATGAGAATTTAATCTCCGCCTGTTTTCTATTTCACGCACACCACGGCACGTCCAACCAGCACTAACCAAACAAAATCGTGATTAAATCGTAAAAAGACAAGGACACGGCTACATCGAGTAAATTATCCATATCTCTTGATTATGTTGACAAATGACCGGTAAGTGATACATAGCTCGAATTTTCTAGACGTCTATTATGGTTATTATTAAGCTTGAGAAGCATCGGACATGACATAACCAATCTGAACCCCCCCCCCAATCCACAAGGACACAAACACACATACACACGCACCGCCCCAATTTCTGACATATTTCGGTTTGGGCAGTTAGACGCAACACGCTTAGAACATAATTATTCACTTCGTTTCTCTCTTGACAAATATATAGGGGAGAGAAAAAAATAAGGCGGAGAGGGGGAAGGGGGGGGGGGGAGAAGGTACACAGCAAGAACTACAGAGAGGAGAGGGAAAGGGGTGGGGGGATGAGGGAGAGAGAGAGAGTTTGCTGGAAATACTAAAACAACATTCAGTTTTTCTTAAAGGTACATTCTTAAAAGCTCATCTTGATTTGAACACTTTGATCACTAAATACATAGAGAAGAATGATTGATGCCAAGAAGATTATGTTTGGTATCTTAATCGGGTATAGATAGGGATACAAATCAGTTATTTGTCCTTCTATAACCGATATTTGAACCTTGGAGTATTGTTGCATGTAAACTATGCCCGAATTTGCGTTTTCATAGTCATGATCCTCTTATTCGAGTTGTGTTTTTAATATAGTGATCGTCTTACTACTCAACATTCTCCTCAAGATCGTCATCTTTGCCCCTTTTATTTATCGTCGCATTAATTATTATCATCTTCGTCATCATCGCCATAATTATCATCATCCTGATCATCATCACCACTATCATCTTCATTATCAACATTTTAATGACCTTCATCATCGTCGTCACCGTCTTCCTCCTTCTTCTTATCATTTATTTGTAATTATAATCATGTTTTTTTTCCTGTCAATTTTCTTTTAGTCTCCTTCGCCTCGGATTGCCATACCGACGGTGTTCTACGGTCTAATTAATCATATTTTCTTCAAAATAAACGCTGGAGTGGAGAATCAATGACAAAACAATTACTTTCTAATTAATTACGACTTCTTTTCATCGGCTCAAAATTAGCAGATTCAATAAGGTAATGGCCGGGTTGCTTTGCAAGAATTCACCTGATTAATTCTATTTTCAAAACGTCTGACATTTTTTTCTAGGGACTGAATAGCAAAGGTCTCATGAAGGTAATTTTCTTTCATGACTGCCAATCCTCAAACCAGTAATACATTTGCTCACTCAACTGTCGATAATCGCTAAATTAATTGGTAGTGCATAAAAGGATTATTAAAAATGCATTGGATTGGTTGATTCTTTTACATAAGCAAGAAGGTAGAAGGGAGAAATAAATTGAAAAATGAAATTAATGGCGTGCAACGGATGCCTAGATGACAGCAGAGGGGTTTATTCATATTCAAAATATACACAGTAGACAAGAAAAGCTAATGCGGAAAGCATGTTTGGTAGTTACGGCAAAAAACACAACAGCAAATAAAGACAAAAACAAACACAAATACTACTGGTCGTATGTAGGATAAAGATATATTTACCATTTTGTGTATGTGTTTTCCGAATACACCCTAATAACTTCATTTAATAAAGACGAACAGTACCATTCTCCCAGGCCTATCACATCCATAACCAAACGACTCATACCAGTGTCTTATCAGTGAACAATTCTGTCAAATTTACCTACTTTCACCGACACAACAGGTCTTCCACTGATGCTATTTAAAAAAAAAGAGAGATGATAATGATAACATTAAAGTCTCACTCTAACGATTGTAGCAGACTGTATTCTCCTTCTCCCAATCTTTACCGCCACCAATATACCCCCTCCTTCTCCTCCCGCTCCTCACCACAACCTCTTCCTCCTCCTCCTCCTCCTCCTCCTCCTCCTCCACCTCCGACGCTTCATCATTATCAGCATCATCATCATCAATTTATACATTTATAAAGCGCCTTTTCATAAGATACAAGGCGCATAAATAAAGAATAGAAACAAACAAAAAGAGACAACATTGTGAGACTATAGCAATTATTAAGTAAAGGGGGAAAAGAGCTCCAGCATTTGGGGGCAATAACGGAAAAGCCATATCACTTATGTGTACTGGTCCTAGGGACGGTAGGCGTTTTACTACTGGCTGATGGTGTATTATACATGGGTGTGTGTGCAAATGGAGTAGATCACCTAGGTATGCTGGGGCCTGATCATCCTCCACCTCAGCATCATCCTCCTCATCATCGATAAGCATTAGCTCTACAACCACCACTATCTCCACCACCACCACCACCAGCACCCCCACCACCACCACCACCACCACCACCACTAACACCACCACACCCCGCCACACCCCACCACCACCACCTACTAAACTACAACCCATTAATACACATCGTAGGTCAAATAATTCTATCAATGACCACAAACACCATCAACAGAAGGTACAAACTAATAAAAAAATATCAACTGACCACAATAACCGCAAATAATTATATCCCCCATCCCGACCATTATTACCCTTTCACACTCATTGCTCTGTGCTTGGAATGAAAAAAATAGGGTCAATGTATCAGTCAATACTTATTAACAGAAACACAAATGATATTCCTTATACTGTGTACCAATGACATTTATGATTCAACTAACAATATAAACCAGTAGAATGGCCTGTTATTCATGTTTGTATAAAATGAATATCAGCATAGTTTAATACTGTGCTAGATAACACCGTTTAGTTTGGGTTTTTTCCCGGCACAAACAGATAATTCAAACTTTTTTCACCCGAATCCCTAATACACGGTCCACTCACACCTAATTCTAAGCATGCACGTCCCCAGACAGACGTAATTAAGATAACCACTTTGCTGGACACAAATGAACCACACTTCAGTACAAAAAATAAATTGCCCACGAATGGTGATAAAATATCATTAACCGTAGAAGCGCCAATCCATGAAAATGAAGAAAATGAATTGAGCCTAATACGGTTTCTTTCTAACACATGACGTTACAAAAGTCGCCATCCCTCGCTCTCTCATTATCAAGGTAAAAACACAGTCGCTTTTCATTTTTCACGGTGGTTACTTTTTGAAGCACCGTCAAATTTGATGGAATTCACGACTTCTCTAAATGGCATTTTCTCATGGGTGAAATAGGGTTTAATGAATAATGATGAACAGGTTTTTAATGACACACATGCCACATTTTATCCCCTATGAACTATTTTATTGTAAATTAAAGAAAACAAAAAGAAAGAAAGGGAAAAACACGTACCAAGTCTTAACACTCTGAAAGCATGTGCGTAGATTAAACCTTGAATAATGCATAATGAAAGTTTTAATTGCTCTAAAGAGGTTTTAGAATTCGTTAATTGTCCTTCAAGCCGCGTGAATCTTCTAAGCAGACATAACAAACTTTAATAAAGAAATACAGTTTTATTTGAGTTTGCTGAGAGTCTGAAAATGGGGTTTTTGAATGAATACATTTCAAATTGATAACTGTACCAAAATTAAAAAGAAAGACCAAACAAAAAGAAAAAAGGCTGGACGACATGCTTCCTCTCTCTCTCTCTCTCTCTCTCTCTCTCTCTCTCTCTCTCTCTCTCTCTCTCTCTCTCTCTCTCCCTCTCCCTCTATCTCTCTCTGTATCTCTCTGTCTCTCTTTGTATGTCTCCCCTCTCTCCCCTCTCTCTTTCTTTCTTTTCTTCTCCTTTTCTCTCTCTCTCTCTATTCTTCTCTCTTCTTGGTCACATCAACCCATTTTCTCTCTCTTTCATTCTATCTGTTTTTATATTTCGAAATGTTGTTTAAATCTCTTTCTCTCTATTTAAGAAACCTTGAACGCTTTTCACGAAACACACCAAAGTGTAAATATTACCAACCATTTTATAGTACGCATATAAAACAGTTTCAAGTGTTTTATTCTACTACTAATAATAATATTTTTTTTCCTTTCTACTTTATATATTATTATTTCTTTTTACTAGATGTTTTCAATATTTCATTTGTGATATCCTCTGCAATTCGGCTTTTATCCGTGATGTATTAACAAATAGAACTCTACGGCCACCCATGATAATCAGATAAAGACACATAGTGTGATGCTCCATAATATCAGCTTGGTTAATCATTTATCATTTGTTCTTATGTACATCAAAAATGTACAGAAAACATATAACCCCCTAAAAAACAAATAAAGAAAAAAGGGAAGGAAAAGAAGAAGAAGAAGAAGAAGAAGAAGAAGAAGAAGAAGAAGGAGAAGAAGAAAAAAAAGAAGAAGAGGAAGAAGAAGAAGAAGACGAAGAAGAATTGTGGACCCCTTTGAAAATCAACTTAAGTTGAAAGGGCAATCCACCCCACTTGTGGAAAAAAAAAAGAAAAAAAAAAAATAAAAATAAAAGAAGAAGAAGGAGGAGAAGAAGAAGAAGAAGAAGAAGAAGAAGAAGAAGAAAAGAAGAAGAAGAAGAAAAAAAAAGAAGAAGAAGAAGAAGAAGAAGACGAAGAAGAATTGTGGACCCCTTTGAAAATCAACTTAAGTTGAAAGGGCAATCCACCCCACTTGTGGAAAAAAAAAAGAAAAAAAAAAAATAAAAATAAAAGAACAAGAAGAAGAAGAAGAAGAAGAAAAAGAAAAAGAAGAAAAAAGGAATTTTGTATCAACTTTAACATTCAAGAATCTTGTTATTAAGAAATATTAGGCATTCCTGTACAAAAATCAGCAAAGTCTTTAATCTCGCATTTTCCCAAGATTTACTCGTGAATGGCATTTACTCAATGATACGTTACCGTTGCCGAAAGAGGACAGCAAATAATATTTGACGAACATGCGAACCTCTTTCTAGTCACATAAGACAGATAGAACAAACTACTTCTTATCACAGATTCACACCATTATACCAGTAAATCTAATTGTATGCTAATTGCTTACAGTTTACTGTTTAAAATGTTTATCATTTCCAAAGAGTTAAAAAAAAAAAAAAAACCCTTATATCAGTGAAAATATTTTCAAATTACCATTACTTTAAATCAAAAGCTAATGAAACTGCATTGATAGTTTAAAAGCCGAATAATCTTGCTAACGATTATTTGTATTTCATTATTGATCACAAACAAAATGGAACAAAAATATTCATATTATATTCTTGTGTTCTTTACAATTTTATTCACAAATGCTAGAGTTTTCATTGTAACTATGCGCAAATAAATTTGTCTATAATCATGTTTTATCCTCGTCATTGAATATTCATTACACTACCATAGTACCATTTATAAAAACCACAGTTCTTTTAATGAATCGAATAATTCGAATGTGTGAATATGCAGATCATATTCCCGTGTCAATTTAATGTATTATGGATGAGGAGAATGTGGTAAAACATGGATTTAATGTCTCTTCCTGTTTATGCAGTTATAACTAAATTCTTAATTTGGTAATGTCCTCTTCTTAATATTCAGGCTTCATCATTTTCCGTAGCCTGTCCTAGTGATTTAGCCCTTTCCCTCAAAATCGCGATGCTATTGGCTTGTCTTTCATCTGACGTCACTCTCATGCGTGGTTCAATGGAACGTCGATCGCGCTCCGTCGTTTCGGATCCGCGCGAAATGGAAGGAGCAAAAGAAGTCGCCTGAGAGAAAAACGGTGACGACTCGGGCGGAAGAAAAAACTGGTCAATTTTTAACGGAGATGGCGCAGTTGCATTTGGTGAAAGCGTACACTTTGATGTCGTCGTTGAATCGGGAAGCGTGTTTTGATGTTGATGATGATGATAACGAGGAGGAGGGATTCGATGGCAAAATAAAGGAAAGTACGAATGACGAGGTGTTTGAAGAGGCGGAAGCCGAGGGGAGGCCGTTGGTGATGTCGGGCATAGTGGGAACATCAGTCGACGACTCACGTCTTTTACGATGTCGGCTCGAAACGGTTGACGATCACGCTGTTCATGGTGATGATGCTGAACCGAAGTCTTGGTCCCTTTAGCTAAACTTATAAACGGATATGGCATCTTTTTGGCTGCTTCTATGGATTCCGTCTTGGATAACCCTTTTAATTCTGCCGGAGAAGTGTCCGTTTTCTTGGGTGAATTTGGTACCTGTTTCCCACAGGTTCTCTCGTGTTTCCGCCACTTTGCCCGGCGATTCTGAAACCATACCTGAACGAAAAGGAAAGTGTGAAACATATTAAAAGAGGTTAGGGGTTTGGATTATAACCATAGCATTATATAGGCAAATACCTTTGGAATGGGATAATTTAATCTGGTGCCCCTTCCTCTGGTCTGTACACTCTATACAGTTAGAAATCATGTCTAAAGAGAAATTAAAAAAAAAAATCATGATACTTTAAACAACAACACGGACACATAAAATCAACTTAAAACCACATAGTAGTCTGCGTCCATTGTGTCCAGGCAGTGGACTAGTACGGATTATGTAATCATTCTAATGTCCACACATTATTTGGGTAGCACAAAAAGCTATTGATATTGTCTTGATACTGGTTGATTTCTCGAAAGTCTTGACGATCGAGTACATTGACGAATTTCAAAATGTCAAACAAAATCGTATTCCCCAAGTAAATTGAGTTGCGTCTTCAAGATTGCTAGGAAAATAATCGTCTTTTCGTTGTGCATCAAATTAGATTTGTGCAGTCCCTTGATGCATACGTATATTTACTGATGGACGTTTTCAATTCAATACATATATTTTGTTTCCAAAGTTTAAAACGTAAATGCAATAAAGTGAACATGAAAATAAATTTTACGACACAACTGCAGTGCCATTAGTAAAGCAATACAAACACATTCATGACAGTTTACAACGTGGTTTCGATTGAACATTATAGACAAGCCGTGTACTGAAATAGTAAGTCGCTATTGAATTGCATTGGCTAACATTGTTAGGGTCTGTAAAAAATGGAAGCGCTCACAAAAACGTTAGCGATATATCCATGCTATTTATCATTTTCATTTTCGAGCGTGTTGCCCGAGTGTTAATTGATCCTCCCTTAATTTATCATGATATTCGTATATATCTTTCTTTAACAGACGATAGCTAGGCCAAAATTAATGACCATCTTTACACAGCTGTGCCCGCAAAAAACGTCCCCCTTAGCAACCCTGCTATTCGCGGGAAACCTCCTCGAGTGATCTAGCCTCTCTATCATACCCGCTCAAGATACTAGCAGCTGAATAATAGACAACGCTGGAATGCTTGTAAGAAAGCTGCAATTTGTAAGTGGGAAGAACTTGTCACGCTAATTGTACGGCTGGTCTTATAATCGCCTGTACTAGGGGCTTTCAATTAGAGAAATTATCGTTCATTTACTCCAAGTGGTTAAGTGCCTACGATTCGATTATAAATTTGCGTTGCTATTGAGCTGGCATGAGGAGAAGGAATGGAATTTTCACCCATGCCAGATATTTGATGGATGAATCCGCAGACCAATGATCATCGTGAAAAAAAAAGGAAGGAAAGAGTTTTTAGGGGTATTTTAAAATGTTAGGGAAAGCTATCGTATATTTGTTAGACAAATTAGACATTGCGAGTGTTTATAACATTTAATTTACTCGTTTATTAAAAAACATTTGTCATGTACATGTATATTGATTTATAACAAACACCTATGCACGAGGTAAGCTTATAAGAATGGGTGCTTATTAAGAAACCCATTAAACCATTTACTATTATCATAACATGTACTATTTTGCAAAGAATGTATGAATAAAACATGACATAAATGATTTACAAAGATGCAGGATGATGATATTCTTATGTCATGTTTTATAGTTTGGGTTTGAGGAAGAGGAGGGGGCGAAAGACGGAAAGAAGTAGATGATATGAAAGGGTTAGCATGAAAAAAAAAGGCGGGATATGGAAATGGGGGAAAAAAGATGAGCAGATGAGGACAAATGAGAGGAGACGGAAAGAGGATGGAATAGAAACTGAAAAGGAGCAGGTTAGAACAGAGTAAGAAAATGAGGAAGAAGGGGAAGAGAGGATGGAAAAGAGCAGGGGAATTGGAAAGGAACGGGAGGGAATGTGAGGAGGGAAGGAAATTGAGAAAGGAGAAGAAATAAGGGAGGAAGGGGAGAGCCTGAATAGGAGAAGGAGGAGAAGATAGACAAGAACAGACATGAGGGAGGAGGAGGGGAGGAGGAGGATGTGGATGAGCAGGAGCAGGAGAAGGAAAGAGGAAGAGGAGAGGGAGAAGGAGAAGGAGGGAAAAAAGAAAAAGAGTACATCTCCCGGGGAGAGAAAGCATGCGAAATGAGAGGAAAGGAAGGGAGAAGGAAGACGAGTAGGGATGAGAGAGATGAATGGGAGAAAGGGGAATGAAAGAGAAGGACAAAGGAAGATGGGTGGAGAGGATAATGGTAGGGGGTGGGTCACGTGGGAGAGGAGAGAGAGGGAGAGAGAGAGAGTGAGAGAGAGAGAGAGAGAGAGAGAGTTGACGGGTGCAAAGAGAGAGAGAGAGAGAGAGAGAGAGAGAGAGAGAGAGAGAGAGAGAGAGAGAGAGAGTGTGAGAGAGAGAGAGAGAGAGAGAGAGTTGAGGGGTGCAGAGAGAGAGAGAGAGAGAGAGAGGGAAGAGGAGCGAGGGAAGGGGAGGAGAAATGAGAGACTTTGGGGGAAAGAGAGGAGGAGGTAGAAAACAAAGCAAATGAAACGAGGAGTAGGAGAGTAATTGTTGGGAGTATGAGAGAGGAAAGGAGAAGAACATGGCGAAACAAAATAAGTAGAAGTTGGGTCCGAGGGATGGGAGGAGGGGAGGATGAGAAAAGATCGAGGAGGGGGAAGAGAAAGAAGATAATAAAGTGTCGGAAGTGGAGAAGTAAGATAATTATATATATAGGAGAGAGTAAGGGGAGGAAAAGGGGCATCTGAAGTAGGAAATCTGGAAAATAGAGAGATCAAACTTAGGAGAAAATAAGGAGAACGAGATGCCACATACCTGAACTCTCGCCTCCATGAGGTCGAGTCTCATCGCCAGAGCTTCCCGCATGAAAATATCTGGATAGTGGGTGGTGGTAAACGCCCGCTCCAGCTCCTCCAGCTGCCATGCACTGAAGTTGGTTCGAACACGCATTCGACGAGGCTTTCGTCTTGACGCGACGTCGAGAGCCGAACCCGTCGAAGGGATCGAACATGAAGATGAAGAAAGAACCGCCACCGAATGAGGTGTCGACATCCCATCCACAACGCTATAACGTTCGGTGAACGGGAGGGACACTGCTGGGTAAGAATTTAGAAAGACATAATTATTTATCAATATTTTGGAACCATGAACTTATCTTTATGAATGATCAATAAATTGTTAGCGATAAATAATAGAGACACAAATTGCGTATTACTAAATATAATCCATTAATTTTGACGCTGCGGGTTGGAGATTAAATGCCAGATGATTATTTTATAACTGATTAGACATGTTTGAAGTAAGTGAGATAATTTAGGTTTTGTTGTAAAAGAATTCGTACAAACATTTCACACATACATTTAATACAGTCCTAAATAAAATATAATTATACAAACACAAGACTATTTGACAATTATTGCTTGAACTTTTGTTTCTTTATTATAACTTTTGTATTTTCAAAATATAGATTGAAAGGACATCTACGATTAAAAGATATTTCTTCATTTACAAATATAAGCAAACCTGCTTTATTGACCACCTGTATAGAAGGACCACCTGTCTGTACAGACCACAGTTCTTTTCTCACTTGAGCTATCTTTATAAACAGGTTTCACTGTATCCAAAAAAAGAAACTTTGGTAAGTGTTTTGTCACAGGGTCCCCCATTTTTATCTCTTTTTTGTATTAAAGATAGAACAACAATAACTGGAAATAAGTTTGCAGAATAATGACATTACAATACCTTTCGATTGTACCCCTGTTCTTGAAGCGATCCTGAATCCTTGATGATCGTTTTCCGTCTCGTCACCGTGGTCGTAACATTTTTCAAGACCCAGAATATTCTCTATGCTGAAGCTAAGGTTTCGAGTCGACATCTTATTGCACCCAAGGTGAGATCTCCAATTAAAATACACTTAAATGTTCAAACTTTCGACACAGCTGTGTTATCTTCAAAAATCTTAGTAATTATTAAAACAAAAAGACAAACGTAACAGCTCTGCTCATGTTGGTGGTAAGAAAAGAAGAAGGTAATTCTACTTCGCGTCGAAATACATTAGCCGGTCTTCTTTTCCTTGGTAAATAAACTTTATACCCTGATTGCGTTAATATTCAAATAGAGACGTAGAGCAGATGAGATGGATTTTTTTAAAAGTCGTCAAGTTATAATTGGGAGACGTTTTAATCCAAAGTGTCCTAATGAAGATGATTCGAGGATGATCAGAACTAGACGAAGAGAAGGGGAGGATAGAAAGTGCACTAGGAGGCTGGGATGAGGAGAGGTTTTATAGGGTGAGAAAGTTAGACTGCCTGGTGATTCGGGAATTTGAAGTCCACGAACCAGCAGTGCATGATGGGAAGAGATTCTTCAGGATTATTGTACCAGTCTTTCTTTTTTTGGTGGGGGATCTTTAATTAGATGTTTGAGCCATCTTATTTCTTTGTTAGAATTATCTTGTTATAATGATTCTTATCATTCCAATGTAAAAACATAACTTACGGATTAGTGGATTAAACCTCGTGTCTCCTGCCCTATTTCTCTCCCTTTCTCTTACACTCTCACACACTCTCCCGTTCCTATATTTACTTTTATATCCATACCATCCTCTTTACTCCTCTCTCTCCTTGCCTGTCTAGTTTTCCCTCTTCTATCCTCTCTCTCTCTTTCTTTCTTTCTCTCTCTCTCTTTCTCTTTTCATCTTTCTCTCTCTTTCTCTCTCTTTCTCTTTCTCCATAGCTCTCTTTTTATAACTATTTCACTCTCTTTCTCTTTCTCTCTCTCTCTTTCTCTCCTTTTCTCTTTTTTCCTTCTCTTTATCACACACTCTTTCTCTCTTCTGCATCTCTTTCATACAATTACTTTTAGTTTTCTTTTCTGTGTACCCATTTATAATTCTTTCCCCTTTTCAAACCCTTGATAGTCCTCTTCATTCCTAAGCCCGCTCCTCCTGTCCCCCTTTTTTTTTCTCTAGTTCATACTTTCTTTCCCCTCTCTCCCTCTATCATTATTCCCTACGTTTTTTTTTTTATATTCTATTACTATTTTGATTCATTTTTTTTAAAATTCATTAAAATTACTTCATAACCAGGAAGGTCATTTTTGACCACGAAAGTTAGAAATTTAAACGGATATGGCAAAAGGATATTATGAAGGATATTATGAAGGAATATTGTGAAATCATACGCAAATAGACTTTTGTAACAAGAGAAAATTGAATGCATGAAGTTAAAGAAGACGTGATCTTAATAAATGACATATTACATAAAAACTAAATATGAACTTGAACAGTGACCACCCCTCCATTCATATGTACACACTCAAGCGCATAGACGAATGAAGTTCACAGACAAAATACCAATGTGAAAATATCTACATTTCCCGTTTTGACAAAACTCAGGTGTCAGCGTGATTCACTCTTTAGGAATTTCCCCTGAAAGCAAAATAAATAGAATGAATAACACAATACTACATCCTTTTTTAATACACAAATAACACAGACTTTCCTCATCTCCTCGTTTTTGATAGTCTCATTGGTTCCCACGGCAAAAGAAAATAGTTGTACTTTCATGAACTGTTTTCAGTCAAATTCAATATGATAATTGTCATAATCTGATCTGCCTTGTATAACTAATTGCCCAAGGTACCTGAGGGTAACCTGTGTGACGTAGCAGATTCATTTACACCGAGAAGAGATGATATTTGTATTAAAGCGGGGTCATTGTCCATTATGTTCCCAATTATTGTTCATACAACAGTCGACCGAATCAATATTATTTCTTATAGAACACGGTTAATGACCGGTTTGATACAAGAATGATAATGGAGGGAAAGGGTGGGGGAGGGGGGATTTCCTTTTAAATAGTGAATGATTGAATTGTTAAACATTTTAACATTCTTATCTTCTAAACGTTTATCATTCTGCCGAAAAAATGTAAGCATATATCATTTTTGTTCCATTATAACGTCGGAAATCTTTCCTTTGTGAAAGAAAATAGTATTTGACACATGAATTTCACAATCAATTAACCATTAAATCAATCTATCAATCAATCAATCAATCAATAATTCAATTAATCATTCAATTGATCATTTAATTAATCAATCAACCAACCAATCAATCAATCAACCAACCAATCAATCAATTGTATCAATTGATCCATAAAAAAATCCATCGATTCATCCATCAATAATCTATCAACTAATCAATCAATCAACCAATCGATAAATCAACCAATCAATCAATCAATCATTTGAATCAATCATCCAAACAAAAAATCAATTCATCCATCCATCATAATCAACCAATCAATCAATCAATCAATCAATCAATCAACCAACCAACCAACCAATCGTTTAACATTCAACATCAAAACTCAAACACTGAACACAGATTGAATCGAGATTATTCCAGTCGTCTTCAATTGACATCTAAGAATAAAACCTAACACGTCACGCACCAACAAGAATTCGAGAGGGTGGTCCCACGGTCCCCGAGGCATCTTCATCGGAATACAACCAAATAGTAACGGGGAACTCCGGGCCTGCAATTTGTCTTCCTCTGGCTGATTCCATAGTTGTTCTCAGCATGTTGCCCACTTTCTGTTCGTTGTGTTTCAAACCCGATATCCAATAATATTTTCTTGAGGGGCATAATTTAAGCCTTGAATTTCATATAAGATGGTCTTTCTGCTTTATCTCAGATGAACGATATAAATCCTATTTCTGCGGGATGATAATTTCGTTTCAATTTGCGCGGTTTCCTTAATAAGACATACCGTTCACCGTTATTCTGTATATTTCTTCTTCAATCACTACTACATGTAGTCTATATATATATATATACATATTGATTGCCCGTTTGCTTTTATGAATGTGTTTTCCTCTCTTTAGCTTTCTTTGTGTCTCTAGTATATCATCCGGTCAATAGTTTTACCTGTGTCTCAATATCTCTGTCATTTACACAATATTGACACATTTTGAATTAAAAATATAAATATTTAACCATGATTAAGAATAATAAGCGTTTAACAGGACCTTGATTAGTTTTTTTTCTCCACATTATCACTTAGCTCAAGATTCTTAAAAAAAATTCTGGGCACATATTCATAAAGCCTCCCTAAGCCTAGTTGTCAACAAGTATATACTAGCCTCTACTTTAATAATTAATGGAAACATTAGTACATTAGTAAGGTTTTATGAATATGGGCCCTGGTAACTAAGGGGAAGGGGGTGGGGGTGTAGTCTTGTATTGTACCTTAAAATATTGCAGCCCACATTGCTTCCATTACACTTTATATCAGTGGAATCCAGAAATAGTATTATTAAACGGTGGGGAGGGGTGAGGGGGCGGTGGTCTTCCCCGGACGAGGGGTGTAATTTAACATCAGGTCATGCCGTTCAGTATAAGTGGAGGGAGGGGGGGGGGGGGGGAAGTGGGTGTACCCCGACCTCAACCTTTGTTACAGAGTAATTAAGTAATCACACAAAAAAACATCATTTAATACACAAATTTATTTGACGAATACCTTTTATTCAGACACCTAAAAGTTTGTGTGTTGTGGTGCAAAGTTGATGAAAAGTGTGCTGATGATAAGTTTCTTTGAGCTTTATTTTCGATCAGAGTTATTACAACTTTCAGGATTTTGACGACCAATTCTTGACATGTTCTAATCACAAACACAATACAACGCAATCAAACCCTATACAAAATTCACACTTTCTTCTCCAAATTAATATGCATAAATCAAAATAATTGTTCTTGAGGTCAATATAGTTGGTTAAATAAAATAATTTGCTTTTGAAAAGATACGATAATGCTTGTCTATTCTGTACACGAACTAAACAGCAATAACATACTACGAACTAAATCAAACAAAGAAATTGTAAACATGCACAATGATTATTATATCGGAGCTCAAAAAATGAATAAGGACGGCTAAAAATAAAATATGTACAAAAATAATGATTTATGCTCTTCCAAGTGAAGTCTTTCAGTATACTTTTGCAGCTATAAAGGCTCTATACAATAAGGTTCTTACTCTACTATATATTCTATAATATGATTTGAACTTTACTCTAAATGCTGCCAGCATTGTACTGGCATTATATTGAATATACTCACGCAACATTGCCTTACTTTCTGTCCCTCTGGTACAATCTGATAAAATATGCATATGATTACTACACTCCCCCCTACATTAGCCTACAACATACTAAATTTCCAATCATTAATGTAATATATAACACACTCCATACGATAACATAAATACGAACAAAGCCTTTCAAACATGAACTCGCAAGGACATTTTATCCCATTAATTATACAAGCTGTCAAAGAAAATGTCAAACTAGACATGTTACATGCTACGTTCTTTTAACAAAAGGCTAATGCCTTTTCCTTTTCAAATTACCCTTTTCTGCTTTTTTTTAGGTTAAATATGTTTCTTTTTGCAATTTTTTTGTTAGTTTTATTTTTGAAACATGCGTAGAGTAAAGCTTGAAAATCGAAGTGGAATAGCTCATGTAAGTTGGTAAAACCGATTTGTTACATAAGAACGAAATGGCGTTGATATGAATGCTAAACAAGTGACAGAAAGAATTATGCAAAATTTACAGGAATTGTAAATGGTACAAGTCGATGGAATAATTTAATAAGAATAATTGTAGGAGAACGTTCTAGATCCAAGACACCACATAACGATAAGTAAAAAATTATTATACTTAGATGATTAAGATTATCCTAAAGAGGAAGTGTATTATAAATAATTTATTTTAATGAATCTTTAGTATTAACTCACCTACAATTAAACAAATATGTCGTGCTAGTAGAGACAATATTTATGATCAACGGGCTAACAATATTATTAATTTCTTGTTCAAGTGCGACAAAAGTATGTACACAGACTAAAATAGTTTTATATGAAATCTGAAAGGTAGCACGTTTTAGAGAAATAAATATTTCAGGATCATAGAAGATTTGTTGATGTTGTTGTTGATCCCAAGTATGAGATAAAGAGGTTACCATCCACTTTTGGTCAGCATATTAAAATAAAATAAAATCGTAGAACAGATAATTGAGAGTTTTTGCATGTATTTCCAATGTTTTAAAGAACTACATTAAAGAACGACTGACAATATTCAAAACCTTTCCACCTTCAGTAAAGCCTCCTTTCCTTTGTAAAGTTGTAAAGCCTCTTGTTTATTCTTTCTAAACACAAAGCTGCTAGTATGCATATTTAGACGCACGATTTGAATTAATTAGTGAATGAATCTTGGCGGTTCGTTGATCACAGCCGAGTCTTACTGTGAAAGTTCCAAATGTTTAGTTCATAAATTATGTACGATTGACCGGGTTAGATTCCGCGTAGTTAGATTCCCTTTCAGATTGGTGCCTATTCTGGTTGAGTATGTTGTGGTTGTTTTAGTTGGTTTGTTGTTGAAAGTTTTGACGAGTCTGTAACCCCTGGATGAAGGTTTGTACCTGTAAATGATAACATGGATTTGAGATTAGAAAATAAACAGTTGCCAATGAAGTGGGATTATATTTTCTTTAAACTTTTTTTATGAATTGATTGTGACAATATGATTTATTCTTAATCGATGAAGTGTTTATCGAATGGAACTTTACTGATCAATATTTACGACTCTGCATGTCGATCAATAAGGTTCTGAGAAGATTATGAACTTCATCCAATAAGAATAAACCACAGTGTCACACTCATTTCATGAAAAGAAGTATCACATTTTATGGGCGACATTGTAAATTATTTTTGCTTAGAAAACTCAAATTTCCATAACTCTTTTAAGACCAAATGATATTATAATACTGTGGAAAATTTGTGTCGGGAATGTAACAGAATGTCCAGGGCCAGTCACTCACGAGTTCTCTAAACTGGGGATAGCATAGGTCTAAGATTGAAACAAAATTGAGAAGCGATATAGGGAAGATATAAATTTAGGAACAACAATATCCGTTTAATCCCTATAATGCGCCCGGCTACTATAGGCTGTTAGATTGAGAGACAGATGATAATTATAACGAAGGGATAAAAAGAAACGAGTGACAACAAAGCTGGGAGAGGATGAGAGAGGAGAGGAGAAAGTGTGCGAGAGAGAAAAAGAAAGGGAATGAGAAAGAGAGAGAGAGAGAGAGAGAGAGAGAGAGAAAGAGTGAGAGAGAGATAGAGAAACGGATAGAGATTGTAAGAGGGTATCCAAAAAGGAAAAATGCAATTCTTCTCAAGCTTTCGTTTGAAATAATCTCATTTTGCCACTACACCTTGCCCTTGAGATAAACTTTCTCCCCATATCAATTTTGTAATTATTTTTTTTATTTCATTCTTTTAGGTAAAAAAACGAACATGCCAAGAATGAATTTAACTTACCTCCCCCCATTGTGGCGAAATCTTTGGTTCCTGTATGCTGCCATCTTACGGCTGATAGAAGACATGCCCCACTGCGCTGTATCTGCAACGAGCCTCGTACTTCTTGCCGGGTCCAACGCAGTAAGTATGTTGATTGCACTTGCAGCGGAATGTCTTTTTGAACTTTTGCTTACACATGCCTTCAACTCTACAGGGCTGTAAAAAGACGGATAAAGACAATAAGCTAGTGTTAAAAGCGTAACACCAGCGAAACACTTAAATAGCTGAGGGAGGGGGGGGGGGGAGGGGGAGGGGGGGGGGGGGGGTAAGCCGAGAAAGAAAAAGGGGAAGGGAGCCAGCGATGATATAGACAGGCTTTGGAAAGAGAGAAAGAGAGAGAGAGAGAGATGGAGAGAAAGTGTGCGCGTGTGTGCGTGTGTGTGTGACGAACGATCTGTTACACATTTTGCCAAATTATTATACATCAAAGAAAAGCAAGAAGAAAGATATTGTTTCGTGAAAGTATCCTTTGCATATTGATCATGACGTCGCACTCGTGCAAGTCTCAAAACACGTCAGCACCCAATTATATAGTAACAGTAGTTATAGTGTGTTTGTGCCTGTGTGTGTGTGTGTGTGGGGGGGGGGGGGTGTAAGATGAGTAGTTGACACAAGGGCAGAAAGTGTGACGAAGAAGAAGAAAAATCGCATTACGAAAATTGAAAACCTGTTAATTTTTCTCGGATGCCGTTATTTCAACGTGACATTATCACGATTTCTATGCTTGTTTCTGCCCCTGCCCGTCAGTCAACTTCCTAATTACGAAATGATGACGTCAATGTTGTGAATTCAATGAGCTGAAAATGATTATCCCCGGCTACTCACTTGGAATCTTAGCAACCATGCATCACCCTTAGTAGTCAACTCCCTAAAAAGATCATCATCACAGTAGGATGGCATGCATGACTTGGGCCGAAACTGCCGTGCTACCATAAGGTGCGATGGCACGTTGTGACTCTATTCATAATCACTTATAAATCATCGGTCAAAGGTCACGATTCATTATCAAAGGCATTACATCACTTGTAATATCAAATGAGTGAATTCATGACTATCATAATGTTATATACCTCACTAAAGAAATCCAGCCATCTGATTGGTCGAAATTGGAGTCGTGGTTTTAGCCATTCCCGTAAAGAAATGAAAAATGCCAATACCGGTTAACAGTCCAAGAGTGAGATCCCTCAACATTTCGGTTACCATGAAATTGGTAAAATTTTGCTGCGATACCAATTGGTTTACGTGTTAAAATGTTCTTTGAGCGAGCGTGGATACCATACAGTGCTTTTTGTCTGCGATTCCCAAACGATTGAAACTTTCAGTCATTTTTCAAGCAAAAATTACAGACAGTGTCTCAGATTTTACGTAATGTTTTAATCAATCTTTACTCAATAAAAGGATAAGGTAAGAATTCTTGATGGATTTTTGTTTCAATATAAAAGACATATAAAAGACATATCGTCTGCTTTAATATTAGAGGTCAGGCGCGCCTCAGGTTCATGGCAGGAGGTGCGCGCGTTCCCTTGAGCATATAAAACAGCTAGGCCTCTCAAAGCAGTTGATATCTCTTTATTTTATTTCTTATTAATAATAGTTCGTTCTTCTATAGCGCATTACCCCGGTCATCGGATTCAGGCTTACCCGCATATGATGAATGCACATTCTCCACTCACTGGGGAGCATTCTAGCCAGGCGTCATTTTACAAGCGCACACTCGCTCATCTAATCACATTAGCTTTCGCATCCTACCGGGTACCCATTAAACACCTGGGTGAAGAGTGGCACATGTAGATCATTGTCTTGATAAAGGACATTAGTGCCGCGAAGGGACTTGAACCGCGGACCTTGCGATCAACAGTCCGGTGACATATCCACTCGACCACGACACCTCTACAGTTCTTAACACGTTAAAATATGGTGCACATCGTGAGGCTTTGAATAATTGTAAACCCAAGCCAATTTCATCAATGTTGTTTTCATTGAAGATAGAAATTGCGAACCCATTACCTGGTAAGGTTTTCAGCTTGTTGGAGCGCGCATATTACTCATCACCACCATTGGTTTTGTTTACTGCAAATAGCGCAAATACAATTTGTCCAATATTAAAGAAGTTTGATATGTCACCCAATGAGCTCGTTAAATGCGCCATTAGAAAGGCGATTCAGGTAGACAATACCCCTTCGAATATCACCCCTCCTACAACAATTAACCCCAGACTAAATAGTGTGGTACAGTATGTCACTGAAACAGCTCCCGTAGGATTTTTGTGCCAAAGTTGATTTTTTTTTTGCATTTTTGGATTCATAGGGGTCCAAGCTATCAGAAATTGATTGGGTTCAAATTTTCCCGCAGACACCAAATTTCCCTATTGCACGTTATATAAGCCATTTTGGCGCCCAATATGGACCCCCCCAGGAAATGAAGGAGGGGTCCGAAAATTTGAACCCCATCATTTTTGGCCAATTGGGACCCTTTTGAAGCCAAAACAGCAAAACAGCAACAACAAACTAGAAATGCAATCGTGTCGCAACGATGTGCGTGCAATGACGCCGTGTTTCTACGTGTCAAAGGAAAGAGCTTCTCTCGGACTATCCAGAGCAATTTGTACGAAGTCTGTAGCTTCTGTAATATTGGAGATAGGTAGGGCGAAAGAAAGGCCTCAACAGTGACCTTGATGGGATGGTAGTGACTATGCCTACGAAGTTTGAAAGAAATTGGGATAGGGGAAAGAACCTAGAAAGGGCTTGCAAGCACTGCGTGCAAAAACCAATGGGATTTGTTGCATGTTCGTCATTGCAGTCAAGATCGTTCTGGGGGCCAAAAGCGTGAACCCGATATGCCCCATAGACAATTCGTGTAATGTATGGGCGGAAAACGTACAGGATCTGTATTATGACCGGAGTTAAATTGTTTTTTCTCTCTCTCTTTATGTCTCTTTATGGGCCGTATTTGGTATCATTAGAAAGAGGATTTCATGGTAGTTATTGTAAACAACTCTCTTTTTTTCTATGATAATCCTATCGAAACACGTGATATAAAATATATTTATAGGACAAAATGGCGTCTTAAATGGCCCCCTTGACCAATTTCAAAAATCCGGCCAAGAGGTGCCCTGCGTATTGCAAATCGGCATGTCACTGCAAATTTTCAAGGAAAAAAAAGGACGTTTAAGGGGCGAAAAGCAGTCTGAAAAAATGACGTCATAGCCGATACATGTTAGATTCGGGCGGAAACTCGGCGGAATTCGTGTAGTGACCTTTGTTCAAATGCGATTTACTCACAATTTTCAGTGTGAACATATACTATACTTGGTATCAGTCGAAAGGGCACTTCATTGCGGTCAGTTTGACACCATTATTATCTGCGCGCAATGTATTGCACGCATTAAACGCGCTATTACGTAATGCATAGTAAATTCATCATTTTTGGCGATTACTTTGCGCTGACATATTCGAATTTTACCAAACTTGGCGGACAGTTGTCACGTATATGGATACATATGTCTGCCAAGTTTCATTGATGTAGATATAAAGATCGCTAATTTAGAGCAATTTGAAGTTATTTCTCAATTTTCTTGAAAATGGCGAATTTGGAGGGCATTTTTCGCAAAGTCGGTCAGTGTTAGGGTATATAATTTTGTATATGGCTGGAAAGGGCATATCTTCAAGTATCTAAATCCAAAAAAGGGTACGGGTTTGCCAAGCCATTATGGAGATACGGCCACAGACAGAAAGCCAATTCCCAGAACTTTAGAGGGCGCTATTTATGTTGTGCAAAGCCATTGGAGCGTGAAATTTGGCATGGCTATGTGCAATTATGAGATAAAGATACTGTAAGATTTAAATACAAAACGGAATTTATATGAGAAAGTTATGGCAGTTTTAGATTATTTAGGGGTCCATTTTTCAAGAACTTGAGAGATTTTTGACGGAGTCGGTTTTAGATTTGAATTTCGAGTATGAAGATGGCATTTTGAAGGTCAAGTCATCTGTCGCAGATGAAAGAACATCTCTCAGACTATCTAGAGGAATTTGTTACAAGTTTGTAGGATCTAGGATAGTGGAGATAGGAAGGAAGATATAAAGGCCTTAAAATGGACCAGAAACGGACAAAATGGTGCTTGGACGGTCATGCATGAGTGATTTCCAAAATCGAAGAATGTAGTGACCTTGATGAGATGTTAGAGACCATGCCTATGAAATTTGAAAGGAAAAGGACATGAGAAAAGCACCTAACTAGGAGTCACAAACACTACGTGCTAAACGAATGCGATTTCCAGACGATAAGGATAAGGAAAAGGAAAAGGAGAATATTAATGGGGCAGAATGTGAACGAAAACAAGGCAATGACGAAGGTCGTCATTGCAAAAACAAAACAGGAAAAAACAAAATGGCAACAAATCCTACGGGCTTACATACCATACCGCACTAAAAGCCCCGCAATAACTTCCAACTCAAAAATCACACTTATGACTTTAATGAATAGTAAGTCTTTGAATTAGGCATAGGAGAGCTGTCTCGGGGTATTTGCCAGGGTTAATAAATGTCCAAGGGGTACTTGTCCTCATGAGTTAGCGTACAGGGCAATTGTCCTAGTGCATCTTTCTCCAAGGGTAAGTTGTCCTAGACAGGAATTATTTAAAGCCCCTCTGTACTAGTTTGGCATGGAGGGATTAGACCTCCCCGCAAGGTCACTGGCAGGTGGTTATCTCATCAAATCAGCTCTCAATTAACGTAAGAAAAAGGGCATCATGGGGATCAACGGGTACCGCTTAGGCATTGTTGGCTGTATAGAGGGCGCAAATAGCTATACGTAGTGCAGTGGGGCTTTAAGTTCAATGACCCTGTTTCATATTGAGGCCTATTGATAACAACTGAGATATTGTTTGCTGTGAATTGAAGGGGAAACCAAATCCATGCATGGCCGAACATGGAAGGAGTTTGTCATCACTAATTGATAAAAAATAGCTCCAATTAGGAAGCATAATGACCCTCTAGTATTGGAAAACTATCGCCTCATTATACCTACTAAGAGCAGTTAATGAGCTCATTCATGTTTATGGGTACGGATGATTGACCATTTGAAGGTCGATATGCCCAGCTGAGCTCATCGTAGTTGACTGCCTCGACTGTTTTGGAATTCATCGCAATGGCTTCCGCGCCTGCTCTCACACTTGCTAGCTAATATCCCCAATTCACTAGAAATGCATGGTAGAAGCGTGGTAGAATTTCCCTACAACCTTATATTTGATTTTACTACAACTTCTGCTGTAATCTACCTGCGATAAAGGTGATGGCGATATAATGCCACATTCTCGCCCCATTTCGAGACCGATGACATGCACTGCCTTTGCAATCTAAGTAATAATAATATGAGGCTCATACGTTTAACAAACCCTCGCCACAGTGGTACTGCGAGCGGGGCAACTTTGATTTGGTCATATAATATTGTGTAAGGAAAGCGCGCACACACATCACAGCTGAAAAAAGAAGAAGAAAACAAAACAAAAAACAAGCAAACAACATCTGTGAAATTTGAAATTTGTCTGTTTACGAAGTCATTTTCCGTGCTGGAGTTGCTCTTTTCTTGTTTTACTAGATAACGATTTAATATCAAAGGTTAATCTATAATTTAAAGTGGAAGTCCACCCTGATATAAATTTGGTTTTAATAGAAACAGAAAATGGGAGAACAGGTCAGTGAAAGTTTTAAAAAATTCCGATTAAAAAAATGTTGTGACTTATCTTGCGAGCTATTGGCCCTCCCATATTTGCCCTGCATTAAAAAACTTCAAACATGCATAGTTTCCCTTAAGAAAATTTCCAAATATACATTCACCTTACATAATATAAGTGTTGCAAATATTAAATCAAATCTCACCAGGAATGATGTGTATGCTGTAATGGATCGGTCCAGTGAACTTATACCCATAAAATTCTTATTCCACCTTGCTCCCCTCCTGTCTCGCTCGTAGAGTTCTAGAAGGTAGTCCTGCGCAGTCTGTCCTTCCATTGGCATCATTCTTTTATCTTCTTCTTCCCCGATCGCTCCAGCTTCCATCATCGGCATCTCATCGATTCCTTCTAGGTCGGCATCACCGAGGAGACCGGCGACGTCTCCGGCGTCCTCTAATTCGAAGGCATAGCCTTGGACGAGCGAGATGAGGCCAAGACTCAGGCAGAGGAGTAGAGTGGTGTTTGGTGCCATGTTTTGTCACAGGTTTAGGCTGATATCGCTTGGGGTGGTTCTTTGCTTCAATGGATTGCTGTGGACTGGTTTGATATCCCTAGTTTTACCTGTGGACAGATATAAAGAGAAGCGATTAAGAGAATTTAAGAGACAGAGAGACAGCGCGAGAGAGGGAGAGAGAGACAGAGAGAGAGAGAGAGAGAGAGACAGAGAGCAAAGTCAAATATATATCAAAGACATATTGCAATTTATTGACTGAGTGCATTCATGTTGCATTAAGCAACACATGCGAGAAGGGGCATACCCTCAAGGTTAAATCAGAAACGATCGAAGAGACATGTTATATTTTGCGAATAATCAGTCCATTATTAACAATAAAATATAATGCATGAATAGAACAATTGTTATCATTAATTATTGATCAACTGCCTAGCAACCAGTCATCGACCGGTCCTTTCTGAAGCATTTTGCGATGGTTGATACTCGATTCCGTTCATAACAGTTACTTATCCATTGTGCATAAATCGTAATGTGCTCTCGACCAGCATTGCAAAAACCTGATGAGAGATTAGAGATACAATGGACATAAACACACAGAAAAAGAGCCTTCTATACTGAATCTATTAGCTACGCATATGTAGATGAGGAGTTTATGTCATTATTACCAATAATACTGGAATCTGGAATACTAAAAATAATGTACGCTTCTAACAATGAATTCATGATGATAATGACTTAAGATTACCCCCCCCTGAAATTAGTTTCTGCGAATATAAAAAGAGAGAAAGAAAGAAAGAGAGAGAGAGAGAGAGAGAGAGAGAGAGAGAGAGAGGGGGGGGGGGGGGGGACCACAAGGCAACGGCAGATATTCTGCGATTTCTTCTGCATTTTTCTTCTCATATAATTTAGTGCGAGTGAGATTGTATTTGATAAAAAAAAGAAAAGAAGGAAATTGTGCCGCCCCCGACGGTAAATTCCGGATCTTTCATTGATATCATTTTCAATTCCTTGAAGTGTCTCCTGAAAAAACTGAGCACCGCCCCAATCCTTTTAAAGATGACCTTGATGTATTAGAAGGAAACAGGATTATTTTCAGTTTTTGACACACTTGATACACTCCAGCATAAAGCGGTCAAAGACATTCCATATATGGAATGAGACGATAAAGAAAGTCGCGGTGCAGTAAACATATTCAACGATTATGTATCGTGACATTTTAAAAGGTATAATTTCAATGTTTTGGAAAATGGACGTCTTAAAAGTAATATTTAGTTTCAATGGATGATGACAGAAAAGCATAGATTTTCGTTTTCCGTTCTCTGGTTTTGAAATCGCCATGTTTCAAAAGGCGATCACTTCGACCGAGAACAATTTAAACACAATAGTTTCGTACGCACAAATATGACCGAAAATATAAGAGGACGGTTGAAGACATTTAAAGCCCCACTGCACTACTTAGCTACTTGCGCCCTCTGTACAGCAAACAATGCCTAATCGGTGACTATTGGTCCCCCATGGTACCCTTTTTCTTTTGTTAATAGAGAGCTGATTTGATGAGATAACCACCTGTCAGTGACCATGCAGGGGTCTAATCCCTGCTGGACAAACTAGTGTAGAGGGGCTTAAACATTACATTCATCCCTGCAGATTTAAATCTCTTTATGGTAACCACGTCACAAGCCTCTTGCTTTTAAAGGTGATTGACTCCTTATTCTATGCATTTTAATACATGCATTGATTTTATATTCATTAATTTTGTCCGTGTGTGTTAAAAAAAGGTACCGAGTATTTAATAGTTACATTAGATTCGTTTCTTTTAGTTTGCTGGACAAAATGGCTTTTGACTATGTCATCAGAATACCGTTTATTTATGTATGTTCATGTATCACTGAAAAAAATTGGTTCATATTCTACTAATCTAATTACTGAAACCCGACTCTGGACATAAGATCACGTTTAGCAAAGGGAACACATATATTTCAGGCTAACTTCCTTTGTTAAACACGATTTGAACAGAACTGAAATCCAGCGTTGGGTTTAACTTTTTTTAATAGAATACGGGCCGTTTTGTTTTAGGTGAAATTACTATTCATGTCCCGCTATACGCTATGAGCTTCAAATCACGTCTTACAATGGCGCCATCCATTGAGAAGCATTCTACTTTAAATGGGCGCTTGTATTCAAGCAAATCCTGAAAGTTGCTACATAATCCGGGACAGTTTAGGGAACAACGGCATCGGGATGGGGGGGGGGGGGGGGGGGGGTAAGGCAGCATAATGTGTGATTACGTGTGATTTAACAAGGCAACAAGATGGGGGTGGGGAGCGTTCCTCTTCCCCTCTTTTCTATTCATTTTGTCGATACTTTCAGATTGGAGAAAGTGCCCCTTGCCCTCCCCCCCCCCTCGTCACCACCACTTCGATCCGGGAAAGTCAAGGACAGGGATGTCACGCTTTCAAAGAATTTATCGACCTGAAGTACACGTGGGCACGAGAATTTGATTTTTATCATGAAGACTTTCTTTAGCAACACCCTCGTGGAGCATATGGGGTCATGCCGTAACCTACATTCCTCATTGACGTCATATTAGGTATGTACTGTTTGGTCTTTATTTATTTATTCATTTTTTAAAATTTAGTTATTTATTCATTTATTAATGTATTTATTAATTAATTAATTAATTTATTTATCTATAATTATTTGTTTATATGTACAATTAATTTTCTATAACTTTTCTTTCTTTCTTCACTTCTTATTAATTTGATTGATTAATTAACTTATCTATAATATATCTTCGTTAATACAAGCAGGGGCACTTTTATGGATTAAAAAGTATGTGTAGTATAAGGGCTCCTTGTAATTTCATTCCTTCATTAATGTAGCTTGACATGCTGGAAATGACGGATGATTCAAAAGGCCTGATGCCAGTGGCATCTGTGAGTCAAGGATGCGGGGGAAGTCATTCATTGTCGTCGTCCTCATGCCCCACGTCCTTCATTCGTAACGGTAAAGTCAACTGTCTTCTGAAGGACATGGCCGATGGCTATACTATACTAGCATGTTTTAATGTATTGTGTGAATGTAATGAAAGTCATACGAGCGGACCGCCAAGTTGAAAGAGAGACGGGGCTTTGAATAATTGATAAACTGTTATATTCCATTCAATTGATATACTCATACAGAAAAACATTTCGAAAAAACACCCTAGATAAAACTATTTTGACAGAAGAAATGTATTCGTCATTTGATCGCGACACGACTACTCCCGGGGACAACTACCATCCGGACAACTATCCTAGGGGGTAGTTGTCCGGGAGTAGTTGTTCTAGGGGGTATTTGTCCGGGGGTAGTTGTCATAGGGGGTAGTTTACTGGGGAAAAGTTGTCCGGGGGTAGTTGTCACGGGGGTAGTAGTCCTACACTGTTAAAACAAGTATTACAATTTTTAATCAAGTTGGTTAAAATTTTAATCAACCACGGATTACCAGGTGAATCACACAATCGTTGGTTAAACTTTAACCAACAGCCTGTTGATTAAAATTAACCTGTGGTTGATTAAAAATGTTAATCAATTATTGGTTAAAAAAATTGGCTCAATGTTGGTTAAAATGGTGTTGATTAAACTTTAACCATTTGTTGATTAAAACTTTAATCTTTTGTTGGTTATTTATGCTTTGTTTGGGGCTGATTCACATGATGTTGGTTAAACTTACATGGGTCGTTGGTTAACATTGTAACCATTGTAGGTTAATTCTTTTTTTGATTCACACGATGTTGGTTAAACTTTAGTGGGTTGTTGGTTACAGTTATAACCACTGTTGGTTAAACTTACGGGGAGGTCTTATCCTCGTGTTTGCAGGTAAGAAATTGTTTAATATGATTATCATCAATGCTAAGATTGTAAGGAAGAAGTGAAATAAGGTTCTTGCTCAAATTAAAAACGCTTTGTGTCCCGGTCCGTAGGTTGTAGCTCAGCCAGTAAGTGTAACCGATGACCTACCCAAATTGCATGCATAAAGACGTTTCACTTTATGATGACATCTTATTTTATATTTAATTGTTTTAAACAATTAGATTTAAAAAATAAGATTATTATTCATGCATGCAATTTGGGCAGGTGATCCGTAATAAGCCTACACTTCTCCTTCTTTAATTGGGTCTGCCTCCTTCACGGTTGAAGATTCTTGCAGACTGATGAGTGTGTGTGTGTGTGTGCTTACGAGAGCCAGGTGCACGGTGCAAGTAAAATGTTACTTATTGGTTGAGCTACGTACAGCCTAGGGGACACAAATCGTTTTTTATTTGAGCAAGAACCTTAGTTCACTTCTTCCTTACAATCTTAGAATTGATGATGATCATATTAAAATAATTTCTTACACTGTTAGAACAAGTATTACAATTTTTAATCAAGTTGGTTAAAATTTTAATTAACCACGGATTACCAGGTGAATCACACAATCCGTCGCTGTTTTCACGAAGTGACGGTAGTGAAAAAAAATTGCATTCACTTTGCGTTACGATTTTCCTCACTACTGTCACTTCGTGAAAACAAGGACGAATCGTTGGTTAAACTTTAACCAACAGCCTGTTGATTAAAATTTAACCTGTGGTTGATTAAAAATTTTAATCAATTATTGGTTAAAAAAAATTGCTCAATGTTGGTTGAAATGGTGTTGATTAAACTTTAACCATTTGTTGATTAAAACTTTAATCTTTTGTTGGTTATTTATGCTTTGTTTGGGGCTGATTCACATGTTGTTGGTTAAACTTACTTGGGTCGTTGGTTAAAATTGTAACCATTGTAGGTTAATTCTTTTTTGATTCACACGATGTTGGTTAAACTTTAGTGGGTTGTTGGTTACAGTTATAACCCCTGTTGGTTAAACTTACGGGTGTTTGGAGGTCTTATCCTCGTGTTTGCAGGTAAGAAATTGTTTAATATGATTATCATCAATGCTAAGACTGGAAGGAAGAAGTGAAATAAGGTTCTTGCTCAAATTAAAAACGCTTTGTGTCCCGGCCCGTAGGTTGTAGCTCAGCCAGTAAGTGTAACCGATG